AAAGGTTTCTGTGTGAAAATACGACTGGAATTACACGCCGTAAGTAGCCATCCGAGAGTCGTCCAACGTCCGATCGATCTTCCAATCGAACTAATTGGAAAAATAACCTCTTTCAGATTACGTGCCCCGGTGTATGGCTATGTCCGAACGGAAAAATAGCATTGCGAATAAACAGTTTTGGTTCCACCCTAGAATCTCATAGAGTATCACCGATTTTTCCGCTATTATTTCACAACGAGTTTAACTTTAAGAAAACTTTCACACGGCTGGCTGCTTTGACAGACTTGCAACGGATTCTGCAGCAACAATCTCTCCACGCGGAATTGATACAATGGCTTAGTCCGTGCAACCAGCCCATCCTTTTGGCTACGTTTCAGACCAGTTTGGCCGATCTTCTCTATCCGGTAACTTATTGCAAACGGTTGCTGCCCGGAGTCGACGTCGATCTGCTCATGGACCCGACCAAGTATTTCCCCGTTAGTATCCCTTCTCTCCGACTATAATACTCACGCTCTCCGTTGAACTAATTCCAAGGCAAACCGTTTCAACAGGGTATTATAGCGCCTAAAATCGAAATTTCCACGAAAACGGTGATAGAAGAGGTGAAAACGATTTACGACGCGAACCTCGACAGGCCGTACATCGTCAGTCCGAAAACCATCGATTCCAAGGTAAAACGCTATATTCGCGTTACTTCGCGTTACCTTTGGCTACGCTGTTTCATCTTTCCGTCAATCGTAATTTTCAGCAAAAATCCCACGCTCACAGGAAACGACCCGTCAAAGGTATCATCAGGCAGAGGAAGGTTTGTCATAGTCGAACCAAGACGAAAGCTCAAGTTTGCCATCTGTAAGTGTATCACCGATTCCCTCTTCCTCGCTTATTTATTACCTACGACGCTTATTGCGATCTCGACTTTGTAAAATTTCGATTTTTACAGCACACAGTGTCGAAACGATCCGTGTAACCACGTGGAATACTCGTGCGAAGGCGAACTCGCTCGGACCGATCGGTGTTACCATCCGATGAAATACGGATCAAAGTGTCGGAACGATATTTACCTCGATACCGATACCGACACAGAATTCGATGTGCCGCCAAGACACTACCGGGTATCCTCCGTTTGTGGCAACCTACACATCTTCGACAGCTGCCCCGTCTGTTTCAAGTACAAATGTTACTTTTCCAACGAATGCGACGGCAGAATCTCTCCCGACAATCCCGCTCATCCGCAAAAAGATCGTTCGATGTCGCAACAACGGATCTCTACGTAAGTTTATCGTGCGCGTAGCGCGATCCATCGTCTTTCCGGCGTCTTCCACAACTACTTTCAATCTTTTCTTCTTCTTTCTCTTCTTCTCTTTGTGCTTATTTTTGCAGAGGATTACGATCAACGTCTCGTCCGTGTTACGGAGAGAAAGGTAAAGTCGCGTTGCACGGCAAAAGATAGCAAGTAAAACGCACAAGATCCATTGCCTGTTAACCATTTTCGTTAGTGAAATGAAATTACCAAGAGAGAAGAAAAACAACGAGACAACGCTTTATTACATCGTATACGCGTGACAAAGGGGGGAAAAGGAGCAAAGTTCTTGCAAAAGATCGCGATAGTTTTACAAAATTATGTACTTACGCAGAACCGAGACATTCGGTGTAAACGTACGTGAGAATAAAGTGCTGAATGATTCTGATAACGTAACGTAATCGAGTTGTTGTTTAACGTTTAACGTATACTCGCCGACCCAACGAATACATCGGAGTACCACGCACCTTTGCACCCCGAAGACTCACCGATTTCTTTAACAATGCCGGGCATCTCAAGTATATACCACGACCTTCGGGTGTCCACGCTCTTAATGAGACGCTTTCGTTTTCCAAGGGCGTGATCGCGATCCAACCTGTCGATTATAACGAATTAAATGAAACGCGACGCAGTTCACCGCTGCGACCATCGTTTACCAATTCAACCTACCTATACTTGACAGTACAACGTCGGCGACGGATTCCTCGCCATTCACACCGGTTATCTCTCTAATCTCTTTCGGCTTCAATTTCGGCCATACTTTTAATCGTTCCGAGTCGTCGATAGGTACGCGGAAAGCACTCGTCCCCAACAATCGATCGTAGACCTCGTCCGCATCGGTGGTACGACACATCGTTATAGGCAGATGCTCGCTCGCGAACAGCGTGCATCTATCCCAAAGGCAGAGAACGAAAGAATTTCCAGTTTAATAACTAATAACTCTGTGTAACGTTCGTATGTATCGTGTACGAATCTTCGAGATACGAAGAATATACTAATTACCGTATGAAGTGTTCTCCTTCGAGATAGTCCAACCTTCCCATACCAGCCACGAACACAGTCTGTTTCGGTCTAAACATGAAGGTTCTCGGTGTGATAATTTCTTGCGGTAACGTTAGCGACAGTTCGTCGGTCGTTAGCAAATTTAGTATTTGATCCGACTGAATAGTACCAGGAGTATCGTAGCACCAACGACTCTGTTTGTACTCTGGTCTAGATTCGTCTAAAACCGGTTTTCTAGACAGGGCCTTGTGCGATATTTCGGAAAAAGAATCTGCTCTCGCGTCTTTCAACGATTTACTGGTAAACGATTTACCAACGTGCTCTACAAACAAACGAACGAACAAAAATTTGTCGAACGAACGTAAGAAGTCGAACGACTCGAGAAAGATTGACGATAATACGTTCAAATTGCTCGGCTACCTTCTAACGTCGCAAACTTCATATCCTTCGTCGTTTTAAACTGATACTTCCTGTAATGTGATTCTTGCGTCCTATAAAACCTCTCCTTGATAAGCCTTATTGTTCTTAACCTACGTTTTTTATCAGTCGGATTTAAAATTGGAAACTTGAGCAAGTTTAACGTAGTTCCCGGCCAAGCAGACACCGTAGCGCGTTGCACCAGATCGATAGCTTGTACTTTGCAATAATCAGAATTTAACAAAGTATTGAACAATGAAGATTTGCCAACGTTTGTACAACCAACCAAATAAACGTCACCTGAAACATATCAACGATTATGCGTAATCGGCGAAACTAGCGATTCTTAAACGAATACGTATCATAGACGCTGACAACTTTCTTTTTGATTTCTCTCGTTAGGACGAAGGAGACGCGATAGACAGTACGCACCTTTGTGACGCCATTTGTACTGCAACTTATTTATAAGATGCTCTATGCCGTATCCAGTTTTTGCGGACATAAGTTGCACGTGCGTAATGTTTTCCCTCTTTACGCCGGTTACACCGATCACGGAATCTAATAAACATTGTTTTACGTTCTCGAGGAATGACGGGCTATCGGTGGGCAGCAGGTCGACTTTGTTCCCAACCAGGAAAATAGGAGTAAAAGGATGCAAAACGCTCTTCAGATCGGGCCAAATACTGCAAGGGAAATCGGTCAGATCGATTATAAGTATTACGGCGCATTTTTTACTTTTGATCACTCTCAATAACTTGGGATAATCTTCGATCGATACTTTCACTTCTAAAGCCGTGTTGTAGAACTTTAAAAAATGACACCTTTGACATGTCATGGATTTCAAGTCTTCGTCGTTTTTAAACGAAAACAATTCCGACGGTAAATATCCAGGGATCGCTGGATCCCTGCAGTGCAATAACGCACCACAACCACCGCACGGTACACAACTTACGTTCGAATTAGGATCCGCTGTACCGTAACGATTCACGCCGAGCAAAGTGTCGTCGAACTGTTCGTAATCGGACATCCAAGTATCTGAAACTTTCCACAACTCCGAATTTGGCAGATCGTCCGTATCCGAACGATCGACATCGTCTTCCGTGGACTTTATGAAGTCTTTGAAAGTAAGCTCGCTCAAACCGCTCTTCTTCAACTCCAGATACTTTTCGTACAAGTTCTTATATTCTTCGTTTGATACGGTCGAACTCGTTTTTTCAGTGTCATCCGATATCGAATCGATTATTTCATACGAATCTACCATCTCGTACGGCATGTGTACAGGCTTTTGTTTTACTACAGTTTCCTTTTCACAATTATTATCCTCCATTTTCTTTTCTTCCTGGTCAACGACGATCTTATTTTTATCTTCCTTTAGATCGTCCAGCAGTACACTGAAAGTAGGTTTATAAGCAATTTCTTCGTACCTTTGCATTTCCTCATAGTTGAATTTCAATTTCTCGAACTTTTTCTGCTTTAGAAACCCCATTTTAACATTTCCAGAATCCAAGTAATCACAATACAGCAATTTATCTCTGAGAGCCAAAATCCTTGGATCTACCTTTGCTTCGATCGACTCAGCGTTTCTATGCAAAGTCCCATGCCCAAAGTGTCGTAGTTTCAAATTACGGCATACACCGTAATTACGTAATCGAAACCAAAATTTCATATCTGAGTTTTGTACGATGATTCGTGCGAAGATACAATATCAATAACCAACGATATCACGTTTTATAGAGATACTTCTCTTATAATCTATCGATACATTATTCAAACTTGTAACGACCGACATTTTACGATCGAAAAATCTACCAAAATCATTGCACTGTATCGACCGTTACGTCCAGCTTGGTAAAATAAAATACATATCGCCTTGTGAGATTATACATAACCTCAAAATACTTCTGGTTCACTGAAGACGTACACACGTGAATGAAGTAACGAGTCGAATGAATCGACACTACCGTGTTAGCGAAACGTTGAAAAGTGATGTATCCATCGATCGATATCTCGATCAAGTTCGACATTTGTTGTACATCTGAAGTATATCTCAAGCAGTAAATACTGTAAAACGTGTTCGATCGATTAACAGATTATATTAGGGATAAACGCTTTAACGTTTATATTTATCGTTTATATTTCATTACATTTCAAAAGTTGTACAAATACGTACGAGTAGCGGCATTTTATAATATATTATCTGGTATTATACAACGTTATTATACAACGCTTTGTTTATTCTAGCTCGTTACTCGCACGCAAATAAAAATTGTCACTTTCGTGTAAACGGTGTGCAGCTCACAGAAGTCTTTCCATTGTCGTTTCTACTATAGCAAATTTAAGTACTAAAAAGAAAAATTGAAGAAACGATTCGATAGTAGGGGAAGGGTGCGGTACGAGCTATATCGGTCGAAGACACGAAAGGCGGTCAGGGTTGAATACCTGGATCTCTGCATATTTGCCGCACTCCATATAATACCTGTAATCGTATTGGTTTATTTTTAATGGTCTTGTTTAAAAAATTCCATCAACGATATTTCTTTACTACATACATATGTATATACGAGCATAGGTAAGTGTTATTTTACATTTGCTGTAATTGAATACATATGTATACAATACACACACACACACACACACATATATATATATATATTCGAATCCATAAGAATGCCAATAGGAATGAGACGACAGTTTATCGAATTCAAATACAGTTCATTACGATTTTCATGAAATGCATTAGGTATAACGTTTCAAGGATAAAGGTAAAACAATGTTCATCTCCGTGATGTTCTTGTACGTATGTACATACATACATACTGTGAGCTATAGATGGCAGCAACGTCTCTATTACTTGATCATCGATTTCGTTCAAATATTATATTATACGTGTTTCCGTAAAGGGATAATTATGATAAAATTGAGACAAAAGGCGATAACTTAAGTAATATAAGAATGCAGATTACGATGCTTATAAAATAAATTCATTCAATGTTATATGCAAGCATGTTTATATACGTGTCTTGCGACAATTTGCATACGAATAGTAAAAGACAATGAAAAATGCGAATCTTGGGATTCTATCACATGTAGCGTGCTTGTTTCTCTCTCGTTGCTTTGACATTAAAATAGTTCAACGTAGAAAAAACATACGTATAAATAGTTATCGACAAAGCATACGTGACTAGTGACATGCACGTACGAGGTCGTCGAGTTTAACTCGTGTCAGCCGCACAGAGGTCGTCCATCCTTAGTCGCGATATCGAATAACGTTAATTTATGATACGACAACGTATAATTCATGATATTCGGTCGATTTTTATCTTTCCCTCGTAGAATATCATTTAAATTTCAGTAGGTGGGCTCATCGAACTAAGAGGAAGGACAAATTTACCGGAAGTCATCCACTGATCGAGCTTGCTTCATGGACGCGGGAAAAGGCGGTTCTTCGATCGTAAAAGATATATGTACGCGTATATGTATATGCGTATATAGGTAATACGTAGACATGTAGGTAGGTAAGTAGGTAGGTAAGTAGGTAGGTAAGTAGGTAGGCAGGTAGGCAGGTAGGCAGGCAGGCAGGCAGGCAGGCAGGCAGGCAGGCAGGCAGGCAG